TTTATGGTTGGATTGAAAAATGATTATTCATCCAGTTAAATCTGATCATTTTGTCTCGTTGGGTTTGTGCGTGTGCACATTTTAAAAAAACTTGCTTGGAATGCAGATTGTAAACATATGCACTGTTGCTCTGAATATGTTTTTTGCCATTTTCAGCATTCAAGGTTGTTAGTTCCTTAGACCAGTTTACTTCATTAGCCTGCATAGCTACAGAAAGCTTACCTTTTGAAAAAATAAATAGCTTAGCTACAGCTTGAGTTCCAATTGACCATCCAATTGCCCTAGTTATTCCCCCATAGTAACTTGCTCCATTATATTTCCATTATATTCCTGATGCCCTTCTTACCTGCAATACTTATTACGGGGATAACTTCTGAAATGAATTTTTGAATTGGCATGTAGTTGTCAGTCTATTCTCTTCTTTTTAATGCATGTACTTACGTGATGCATACAGTGGTACCTCGGGTTAAGTACTTAATTCGTTCCAGAGGTCTGTACTTAACCTGAAACTGTTCTTAACCTGAAGCACCACTTTAGCTAATGGGGCCTCCTGCTGCTGCCGCGCCACCGGAGTACAATTTCTGTTCTTATCCTGAAGCAAAGTTCTTAACCTGAAGCACTATTTCTGGGTTAGCGGAGTCTGTAACCTGAAGAGTATGTAACCTGAAGCGTATGTAACCCGAGGTACCACTGTATTCCTAAAAACTCTTCAGAGTGGGGTTGATTCCTGCAACATTCCTTTCTGTGTTTTGAACATAAGTGCTCAAGCGAATCTGTAGCTTCAAAGGGGGACTGAAAAAATGTTTAAAATGTGCAGCACCAGTAAAAGCAATGTCTAGAAACTGCAAGGAGAAGAAGATCTGCTCCATGGTGCTGCTACACAAACAAAGCCAGGTCATTTGGAATCTAACAGTCCAGATGAGGAGCATTATATAAGCTCTTCTAGCGGCGCCTTGTCCAGACTCTAAGACAACCTGGTGCCTTTCAGGTACTATGAATGACAACTCCCATCAGCCCTGGCCAGCAAAGCCATATTCCAAAACATCTTCAGGACCCTAGGTGAGGGCCGGCTGACCTAGGGGGCAAAATTAAAATGCGCAAGGAATGATGCAGGGCAACACATCCACTGAAAGGAAAAAGAATGGGAGAATTTCAGGAGCTGCCGACATGAGGAGCGTCTGTAACATAACATGACATTATTTATATTGGTATTTCCTTGGAGGAATATGATAGAGAGGTGGTGTTGGAAATGTGTGCACTTATTTAAACAATAAGCACATGCTAAGGCAGCTGGTGCAGTCTTCCGGGACAGAATATATGGGTCAGCATATTGCATCATCGGCACTTTTCCTCTCTAGTCAAGCCACCTGCCTGAGTAAACAGACAACATGGGGCCCCAGTGCAACAAAATTACATTATTAAAGAGGCAGCTTTCTGGATTTGTGGCCTACTTAGACGTATTTTTTCCCCCCAGAAGCCAACTAAACCTTGTCATGAGGAAGTCCTGCTCTTTATAAATATACTTCAAGCAAGCACCTCGTTCCTTTAGCTGTCACGGAAATACGAGCAACAGCAAAATTACTAGCCACGGTAGACAATAAACTTAAGTGGCATTCCTTTCTCCTTTTTAAAATCCCTTCCAATATAATTTATTAATCATTTCTATAGCATGTTTTGGTTTGCAGTGTGTGCTTTGTGTCCTCCCCTCTCCAACCCACTCTGCGTTTTCATTTTTGCAACAACACTGACAGATTGGTTGTGCTGAGAATGACTTTCTGAATACTACCCATGGAGTTGCATGCCTGAGAAAGGATTCTTGCTGAGGGCCTAAGGCTGTCAGTGTTTTTCCTGGCAGGTTTTCTGTGCTTTAGTAACTATGCAGGCATCAGAAATTCAACAGGTGCAGCAGAGCTTACCTGTGATGGGGAAAATTAAAATTTAAAAGATACACGAGCCAGGGAGGTGGGAATGGCATCTGTATATCGATTTTCCTGTGTGATTCCCAATGCTCTGTACATTGCACTATACTGTACCCCAGTATGGAAAGGGGAACAAATACAAGGCTAGTTAAAAGTATTATGTTCACAAATATATATATTGAGTGAAAAAACTTTAGTGCCTGAACTACAGAGAAGCAGAACATGATGCATATTCTACACTAGGTATGTCATTGACTCATCATGTTAACATGTTCCATTTGCCTACAAATTTCAAAGACCATATCTCAATTTATTAATTTTTGCCAGGATCCCGCAAACAAAGGATATTTATGATGAGCATGTGGAGGAAAAATGTAAACACGTTGCAGAGTTCCCCCAAAAGAGGCAGTTGTATTTCATCCAGCAGAGCTTTACTGCTACTGAAGGCAAATGAGCATAATGGTCACAAATCCAATACATTCAGGATTGGCACTGTCCATAAGAAATCCAGTTGATGCAGACTTACAATAAACCTTACAATAACTTATAATAAGACTAAACCTTAACACTGTATACGGAACACCACACCAGAGCAAAGAGATAGAAAGAGAAAGTAAGTGAAACCCAGACTCCTTCTGGCCCCACTATTATAGTCAGCATGACCTTGACAGAAAGATAACAGAACCAGATTAAACCAGCTGAACTCCACTTCTCAGAAGGAATAACCCAAACATGAACCTTCTTTCACACAGAGAAGAAACCTTCTAGAACCCTCTTGAATTAAGCAGAACAGGAAAGATCTCTACACTTTCAATCAATACTTTCTGTACTGACAATGCAAACTGACAATTTATGAACTCCTAGCCAAATACAATGGGGAGGCGGGTGGCACTGTGGGTTAAACCACAGAGCCTAGGACTTGCTGATCAGAAGGTCGGCGGTTCGAATCCCCGCGATGGGGTGAGCTCCCGTTGCTCGGTCCCTGCTCCTGCCAACCTAGCAGTTCGAAAGCACGTCAAAGTGCAAGTAGATAAATAGGTACCGCTCCGGCCGGAAGGTAAATGGTGTTTCCGTGTGCTTCTCTGGTTCGCCAGAAGCGGCTTAGTCATGCTGGCCACATGACCCGGAAGCTGTACGCTGGCTCCCTCGGCCAATAAAGCAAGATGAGCGCCGCAACCCCAGAGTCGGTCACGACTGGACCTAATGGTCAGGGGTCCCTTTACCTTTACCTTTAGCCAAATAGAATACAGCTATAAAGGCTATGGTTGGAGGCATCAACATTTCTGAATGCCAGCTGCTGGTAACTACAGAAGGGGAGAGTGCACTTATGCTCAGGTCTTGCTTTCTGGTTTCCCATAGGCATCTAACTGGTTGGCCACTTTGAGATCTGGATTCTGGACTAAAAATGGGTCATTGGTCTGATCCAGCAGGCTCTTGTTATGATTCCATGCAGTAGCAGATGGCATGGTGGGGCAAACAAGACCTACCAGAAGATGAATCACTGTCACTTACCTGGAGAGAGAAGAGGAGGGAGGGGCAAGGTGGCAAGGAGGACAGTGCAGTGCAGATGCACTCACAAGAGTACAGGGGTACCACTTTGAATGAAATATTGGGGGGCAGTAAGCCCCGCCCCACATAATCAATCACAAGATGTGGCACATGTACATGACTTGAATGGCAATGCCCATTAACTTTGGCGGAGGCGGCCCCCTCAAATATTTTCTAGGGGACATCAGCCCCTAGGAGTTGGCTCTTATGTAGGAGTAGTCAGTTGGCTCAGCCAGTGAGTTTGCTTGATGCTGACCTTGCCCAACTTTGCCTTTCTCCCTCTGAATTTGCAGCAGCAGTTCACCAGCCTGGAGATCAGTTAAGGGACTCCACTCCGTCATACTGACAGCTACTAGTTCCATAGGTATAGTCCCTTAGCCAAGGCACTGGTTCAAACATGCTTATATATTATTTGATTTCTATACTTTCTGTTTTTCACTCTATTTCTTTATTTCTGTTTCTGAAGCTGGTTCACCCTTGATTTCATTACAGTGGTACCTCGGGTTACATATGCTTCAGGTTACATACACTTCAGGTTACATATGCTTCAGGTTACAGACTCCACTAACCCAGAAATAGTACCTCAGGTTAAGAACTTTGCTTCAGGATGAGAACAGAAATCATGCTCCGGCGGCGTGGCAGCAGCAGGAGGCCCCATTAGCTAAAGTGGTCTTCAGGTTCAGAATAGTTTCAGGTTAAGAACGGACCTCTGGAACGAATTAAGTTCTTAACCCGAGGTACCACTGTACAATGAATGACGCTTGGTTGAATCTGCCTACTGTCCTCATGGAAAAAGTATTGCATCTGAGACAGCACTGGAGGAAAGCTATGTTCTAATCACAGTTAGAGCTGTGATGGATCATTCACACATGTAGTCATCATGTGATGAATTTATGGGAATCATCCCTCGACTGTTAGCTCAATGAATGAACTGTGTCTGGGGTACTGTCATAAAATCGAAGCTCTATCTGCAGCATTATATATATATATATATATATATATATATATATATATGTATATATATATATATATATATAATGACCCATTCACACATGCAGAATATCAGATGCAGTGCCAGATTTACGTATAAGCTAAACAAGTTATAGCTTAGGGCCCCTGTCTCTTGCGGGCCCCCCCAAAAATATACTTCTTCTTAATTTTATTTCACTGTTAATTTGATTCTTCTTAATTGTATTTCAGGTCAACAATTACTTTGATAAAATGCATATTTTGTTATGTGCAAATGACTTTAGATATGTATTAGGTCCCTAAATTACCATATAGCATATATTCAACACAAAAAACAGCAGCAATTGGTTGTTGGCAAAGGACAGCTGGACATATAAAGGGCCCCATTACCTTCAGTAGCTTAGGGCCTCATCATACCTAAATCTGGCCCTGATCAGATGCTACACTGGAAAGGGGCTAAAAATGCATTTGTGAATGAACCGTAGATGTTGGGGGACCATAGAATCATAGAAGTGGAAGGGACCACAAGGGTAATCAAGTTGAATCCTCTACAATGCAGGAATCTTTTCCCCAGTATGGGCCTCAAACCCACGACTATGAGATTAAGAGTCTGATGCTCTACTGACTGAGCTATCCCAGCTTGACTGCTGGCATGAAAAGACATGCTTGGAACAGAGACACCATGATGTGCTTAAGCAGTAGCCTACTGTCTGATTGTTTCTTTCTGTCTCAGAATCTATTGCTTTCATGCAATAAGTCAATCCTACTGAATTTAAAGAGCAGCTACCCCAATCTGATAAAAAGCAAACAAAAACCAAGCACAAACCAACCCCCCAAAGAAAACAATCAAAGTAATTGGAGACAGATGGGCTAAGCAAAATGCAGCGTAAGCGTGAATAGGAGCTAAAAGACCACATGGAAATCTGAAAGTCAAAGCTATTCTCGTTGGAATGAGTTGTTATGAGTTGGCCTGCAATGAAAGCTCTTGGATGTTTAGAAGGCTAGCTCAAGATCTCGGTTTCGCAAATTAATCAACATATTCATGTTGTGAAAAAGGTTATCTGAGGCATAATGTTGGCTGAATATTAATTTATGAGACCAATCATCACTCTGCTGAAGTGATGTTTCACATCTTCAAATGGAGAAACAAAAAAAAAGTTTTGAAATTTAGATGCTATTGAATATAATTTCCTCCATCAAATTAATTATTTTTGCATTTGAATTAAGATGGCTACATTTTATCTTGATTGATGCTGTTGGGTCCAGAATTTCAAAATTACAGGGGGAAATGTGTGTTGGCAGTGGATTATCTATAATTTTTGGCAGCATGACAAGTTTTAGCAAACAGGTTTCTGGCAATGTGATATTGGTGTTTGAGACACGACTGATATATTTAAAGCAGGGAAAAGCATTTGAGGGCTGAGTGTTTGTTTCAGAGCAGCAGCTAAGATGTGGTGTGTGTTTATGTATCAACAGATTATGTATAGATCTACAGATTTGAATTAGTATTTCCTCTCCATGTATTTGTGGTGCAACCCTATTGTCTGTTTGCAGAAGTCAGGACACTCTTATCCTCTGTGGGACAAGAGCTCTGATTATGGTTGAGGAGGTCGATCTGATCTGTATCACTGAGACCTGAGAGAGCCAGTGTGGTGTAGTGGATAAGAGCGGTAGTCTCGTAATCTGGGGAACTGGGTTCGCGTCTCCGCTCCTCCACATGCAGCTGCTGGGTGACCTTGGGCTAGTCACACTTCTTTGAAGTCTCTCAGCCCCATTCACCTCACAGAGTGTTTGTTGTGGGGGAGGAAGGGAAAGGAGAATGTTAGCCACTTTGAGACTCCTTCAGGTAGTGATAAAGCGGGATATCAAATCCAAAGTCTTCTGGGTGGGTGAGCAGAATGGTGTTGGCCTCACCCAACTGTACCCACCTCAGGGCAGCATCAGGGAAGACTTGAGGGTTGGGGAGAGGGGGGTTGCTGTGGACTATAGAGATTCCATTTCTCTTTCCAGGCTCTCTGTCCAGTTTTTTTTGGGGGGGGGATCTAGAGTGTGTGTTCCTGGCATTGGGCAAATGGGACAGACTAGGGATTGTGCTGGTTTACTGCCCCCTCACTGCCCAGAAGTCTCCATGCCTGAGCTGATAGAGCTGGATTCGGAAGCAGTGTTGAGGACTCCCAGACTGCTAGTTCTGGGGGACTTAAACTTCTGTAGCCTTATTGGACTTTACCAATTGGTAGGGTGAGCGTTGCTCCTGGACGGGAGGAAGGAAGTCAAATGACACCGAGGGCTGGTTCAGAGAAAGAGTTTATTCTGTTTTCTGGATAGCAGAAGGCACTTGCGTGGTCAGCTCACAGCAAGTCCAAAGAAACGAGAAAATTCATGCAGTATATATATCCTCCAGGCACCCTCTCCCCCCTTCCCCAGGAATCCAGCCACGTCAGTTTATACATGCAGGTTGACATCACAGATGTTCCTGCTCCCGTACTTTTAACCATAAAAGGGTGTTCCTCTTCCTGTACTCTTGACCATATAAAGGTATTCCTGTTCCGGCATCTTATCTTGGGGTAAGAAGGACACCGACTCTCCTGGCACTGTTCCCGGACTAGGTCTGTGCGTCAGAGTGTGGTCCGGATGTAAGATAAGACCCAGACATGCCATCCCTGCTCCAGTGGAACAGTCAAGGCCATACATTACCGTCACGGACTGATAAAGGAGAGTGCTTTGTTTATACAGCTGGGTTCCTGTTATGCATTTGCTCAACAGCTCAAGTTAATGCATTTTAGAAATGCTCCCTTGGAGAAGGAAAAATGTGGATTTTGGGGCCCGTTCCAGACTGACTACACAGTCAGGTTTTTAGATTTGGGAAACCCATTCCTTCACTTCCATGCTGAGGCAACTGACTTTGGGGTAGCTCATGACTTCATGACTGCCATGATGACCATGGGCCTGTCTCAGCATGTCATTGGCTCAACACATGAGGCAAGTGATACTCTGAGCTATTTTTTAGGAAGACCCCGAAAGTTGTCAATCTTTTTTTTACAAAAATGCCAAAAAACCACAATTTTTCAATTGACTTGCCCAAGATACAGGACAAAGCACTGCCTTTCAGCCCTAGGGATATTGACATCAGTCCCTTTTCATGGTCAGATCTCTTCCTGTTCAGATTTAGGCTTTGAGCACCTATTCCCCTCTGTAGAGGCAGGGGATCTATTAGGATGGTCCACCCTCAGGGGCTGATGGATCCAATGGCTTTCCAGATTTTCCGGCTGATATGACTGATGCTCCTGTCAAAGTCCTGGCTGACGTCTGGAACATCTGAATGGAGCCTGCTAAGCTCCCTGGTGTATTCCAGAGCTTAGGGTGAGGAAACAAGCTGGGATACGGCTCAAACACAAGTGAAGGAAAGATCTGGCTGAATGCAACCAGCCTCCATTGCATCCTCACTTTGTCATCCAGCAGAGCTCTTCCGTGTCATGCAGGGCCTTTTACAGTCTGGCCCAAAGGAGGTGGTAGAACCAGTAGTAGCTTGCTGTGACTTATTGCAAAGCATTGTAAGTTCCTTCAATTCCCTTCACAGGTTTCCCTCCTTATTTCTTCTACATCATGCCAGCAAACTTGCTAAGGAGAGGAATATAATTAGTCAATTCACAGACATGTGCAACATGCTGTTGAAGATGTTAGGTATGATAGGGCAATATATTTATCAATGTCTTATGTGTGTTTCCCCAGCTTACTTTACAAAGGTGTCCTGCAGGCTGCCCACCTAGCAAATATGTCACTAGTAGAATAAAGATGTACATTCTTTTAAAATGATAATAATGAAATATTTCCTGTCAAGAGCTTAATCTTTCTGTTGATAAAATGTTGTTGAGGAGGCTGTTTCTTAACTTTCGGTAGATAATTTGCTTCGGTGATTAAAGGATTAGCCACACACCACTAATCTTACTGTGGGGATTTGTATTCGAATGTCCAAGATACAGGAACATTTCCATCATACTCTTCTCTAGCCGAGTAAATATTTGTAATTATTCAGAGCTTGATCTTCTCATTACATGACCCAGCACCGGATTTTTAAAAAATGTCATGGTGCTCAAGCTTTAACATGAAGGTGTTTGAAATACTGGTGTACTCCCAACCTTTTAGATCAAAAATTCAGTCTAGATTGAACGGGATAGATAAACCTGCTGTGGGTGCTCTGAGTTCTCAAGGATTACCTCCCCTCAGAAGAGGGAGGCAAATATATGTTGTTTACTATGATACAAAATATGCTTTCAGCAGCCCAAATCTTGGTTATAAGTCCTCTTGATAGGATTCTGTATGTTTTCTCCAACATTTAGCTCCGCATCAATGGAATTTAATGGTGGAATTTCCTATTGAGTTCATGGTAGAGGTAAGTTATGAACTCAGGATCTCTTGATTGGTAGCTTAGTTTTTCTTGGCCACTATGCATGGGCAAAACATCTGAGGATATTTTTCCCCCCTTTAGGAGTTCCTATTAGTGACATTTTATACACTTTAACTTTTAATAAATGCAATATGTTAGCAAATCACTGCCAGCTGCTTGTGACAGAAGAGCTGTTTATAGGCATCTTATTTTGACTCATAATGCCCCAAATCCCAACACTGGATCAGAGACTTCTGAAAGTAGAAGAAAAAAAGCTGGCTGGAAAACCTATCCATATTTACCTAATTTAATCAAACCCAGACATAGGACTGCATTAGTTTATTCAACCACAGCCAACAAGATGGTGCAGGAGCTGATAGTAAATAACCCCTGAGCTGGGTCTAGCCCATGATAAATTTTATTTCCCCCACCCCAAGAAAGCTCTACCAGATATTTATCCTAGTGTGGTGGTAAATTTATCCATTGCTTCATTCAAAAGAAAACTGTTTTTAGCCTGAGGGCAAAGACTGTTTTGTTTTTTATTGATCTGTAAGCTGCTCTGGGAGCCCTTTCAACCAAAGAACTGGGTAAAAATGACATACATGAATGAATGAATGAATGAATGAATGAATAAGTTGCTGTACTAGCTTAACTATGTACTGGCTGAGTTATCTGTAACATTTCACTAGGACCATTGCACATCTGCTCTGTATCTCTTACTACCAGATGGTGCAACTTTATTATACTTTATTTTTACATTGATACCCCACATTTCCTCCAAGGAGCTCAAGATGGTATCCACAGTTCTCCCCAGTGCTTTTTTTCTAAAAACAGTGTTTCGGGGTACTCTCATTTTCCTTCTCATATTGAAATACTTCCCCTCAATGAGGCCAAACTTAGATTCACAAAATGTTTAGGGGTATGCGTCCCCCCAGAAAAAGCATCCGTTCTCCCCCTCCTCCTTTTATCCTTACAACAACCCTGTGAGGTCAGTAAGGCTGAGAAAGAGGTCAAATGGCCAATGGTCACCCAGTTAGAGTGGGGATTTGAACCCTGCTTGCATGCCCCATTTGCCAAAAAAGGACACAACAGTGCTGGTATATGTACAAAAATTATAACTCATAGAGTTATAATTAAGACAGGTTTCCTTTAAAGAAGAAAATGTACAGTAATTCTAAGATTAAACTGATGTAACAATGATGGTGATGATGGTGATGATGATAATAATAATAATAATAATTTATTTATTTATAC